ATTTTTTTTAATTTCTTTTTATAATTTTTTAGAAGTATCTAATGCAAAAAATTTCCTCAGAAAAAACAATGGATCTGGTGGTGGTAACTATGTAAAGATAAAAGAAAGAAATATTAGTAATCACAAAAATTGTAAACCATTAATAACTTTAGAGAGCAATATACTAAATAAAAATACAAAGAATAATGCTGATTTTAATTTAAAATCCAGTTCAGTGAGCAATGGAAATGCAACAAAATTAAATGAAATGATTAATTTAGAAAATATTGACCCAAATAAATGGATTGAAGAAATTTTTGGAGATTCTTAATAAATATTTCTACGTTGACGCATATATACATTATATATATATAACTTGATATTTTTATTATCAAATTATTTGTTTTTGCTATGTTAAGATTTTTATCTACTAAAATGTGTTCTCATATTATATATATATATATATATATATATATATATATATATATATATATATATATATATATATATATATATTTTTTCTTTTTTTATAATTCGTATTCTTAAAAAGTACATATTTGATTTTTCAAAAATTGTTTTAAAAAAATTTATTTTTGTATACCTAACATTATGTGAGAAATAATTAAGGTAAAATATAATTTAAAAATAAAAAAAAATATGCATAATGAAAAAAAAAAAAAAAAAAAATGCATTTGTAAAAGTACAACTACCACATATTAAGATTATATTTTATCAATATTGAGCGTTATAATATCTAAATGAAAATATTTTACAAAATAAACGCATTTAATTCTGTTTTTGAATGAGATAATTTAGACAAAAAAAAGAAAAGGAAAAAGAAAAGGGTAACATAAAAAAAAGAAGAATGAAGAAAATGAAAAAATATAAAAGTCCTCTTATAAGAAAATTTTTCAAAGGTAAAAAAAAAAAAAATATTATAAATAAAAAATATATAATTAATCTTTTTTTTCTTCATACTTTTTCCAATCACATGAATTAATAGCTAGTTCAATTTCATAAGAATCTATAGGTAACTTACCTGTATATTGTAAAATTTCTTTTTCTGTATGCAAAAACAGACCATCATTTATATTTAATACAATTTTTCCATCAAAAATTCCTTCACCATAATCACCTTTTATGAATTCTATTATTAAGTCATTTTTATTAATTATACACTAGACAAATAAAAAAAAAAATATATATATTTATATATGATAATGTATAAATATGAATATACATATATATATAAATTTTATTTATATTTTTTTTTTTTTTTTTTTTTTTTTTTTTTGTAATAATTTATGTATTAATGTATTAAAGAACCTTTTTTATTTCGGCTCCTAATGAATTTTCAATTGCTTTTGTAACTTCTTCCTCTGAAAATGATTGAGTTATTCCCATATTACTGTAATAAATTTCATTAACAATGTATTCTATTTCCTCTTGCTCTTCATTAAACCAATTTGTTGATAAAACTAACGTTAAAAATGATATTAGTTTGTAATAGTCCTTTTCATCTTTTTCTTTTTCTCTTTCTGCTACTTTTATCCATTGATCATATATATTATTTATTATATCCCATATTTTTTTTTTATCAATGTCTACTTTTGTTTTATTTTCTATTATATTTGTTAATGTTCTTATCAATTCACACATATCATTTGGATATACATAAGTTGATGGTACCTTAAAATTTTCCATCTTCAATTTATATAAAAAATGTTATGTAATATTTATACATTAATCTAATTAATAATTTTTTATTGTTCTCTTTTAAATTATTAAAAATTTAAGTGATACTTATATATGTGCAATTAATTTTTACATATAATTTATAAATATATATATTATATACTTAAATGTTTTTTTTTACTCCTTTCCCTAAATGGATTTTTCTAAAAATACGATATAAGTTTAAAACATTCTTTTTACTTTTATATTATATATATATATATATAAAATCTTTAAGATTATAAAAATATTACACTAAAAAAAATGACTAGAAAAAATATAAAGGTAATTAAAAATAAAAAATATGAAATAATTTATTGCAATTAAATACAAAAAATTTATGAATTCGATTATTATGATGCATTTTATGAGAAAAAGAAAATTGCATTGAAAGAAATTATATCAAAATGAAATATTAAATTGATCTAATTCTTAATAGTTCTCATAATTTTAGTTTTTTATTAAAAAAAAATAGGACGATAATTAATACCCAAAATTAAAATTACCTTAATATTTTATTTTTTTTTTATATTTTTTCTACACAATTCATATTTTTTTTGTAATTTTTTTTTCTATTAATATTTAAAAATGTTAAGTCATTTAATAAGAATTAATTATTTATTTAATATTAAAAAAAAAAATAAAATAAAATAAATAAATAAATAATAGGAAATACATGATTAATTTATCTCAATTATAACAATATTAATGTCTTATTTTTTTATCATAATTACTAATTTTTCCTTTTTAAAAATATTATACATGTATATATATATATGTAATGAGATGATTAATTGTATTAAAAAGGTTTTAAATTATATATGCTATAAAAATGTGTGTTTTTCATTTACATAATGATTTTGATATTGTTAAATGATAGTTAGGAAAGTACCTTAACTTTAATTTTTTTTATTATTCACATAATATATAAATTTTACTTAATTCTTTTTTTTTTATTATGGAAAACCTTCCTATTTGATATATATATATATAACAGGTTATTTCATTAAAGGGATTATTTATGTGCCCCACTAAAAATTTTTCATTACTAATAGTTTTCATAATGAACTTAAAATTAAATTTAGTCCTATTTTCATAGTTAACTTAATAATAAAAATTAAAAGGACTAATTAAAGCTTAGTTAACATTTACAACAAATGACTACTCCAACTTAAATAAATTGATGAATAAGAGCTTCTTTAAAATAGTAACTTACTATTTTTTTTTTTTTCAGTAATTTTTTAAAACGTAATTTCAATCATTTAAGTTCAATTTTTATTTTATAACATTAAATATGAAAAAAATAAAATCTAAAGAAGGAAATATACAGAAATATTTTTTAAATAAGGTAATTCAACATTTCTCCTTAAAAAATTTTTACCTTTTCTGAATAATATTTCTATTTATAAAAAATTGATATTTAAAATGTTACATAAACTTATATTCCAAAGTTCTTTTTTTAAATGTTTTACTGTTTCTTTTTTACTTGTTTAAAACTTAATTTTTAAATAATTTTTATTTTTAAAGTTCTTTTTTTTTTATGTTTAATAATATATATATATAATTTTCTTTTTTTTATTATAATGTGTTGTTTAATTTAATAAAAAATATGTTTTAAATTATATTGCTTTGTATCATATAAATATATACATATATTTTTTTTTTTTTTTTTTATGAATATTTAATATTTTATTTTTATAAATAAAATTTTACATTGTTTTTATTAGTTATATTAAAATTTTTTATTTTATAGATTAGTATAAATTAAAATTAGTATCAAATGTAAAGATATTATTAAATTTCTTTTAAGGATTAGAAAAAAATAATCATAATGTATTCTCTAATAAATTTTAAAAATATACACATATGTATATTTTTATATTTTCCTTTTAATTCTTTTTTTTAGCTTTTTAAAAGTTATAAAAATTTTACAAGATAATAAAAAAAAAAAAAAAAAAAAAACAGTTCTTTATTCTTTTTCTTTTTCAGTTTTATTTTTCCTTTTTTTTTATTTTTTTTTCTTCATTTTTCATTCTTCCTTTTTCTTTTTTCTTTTTTCTTTTTTTTTATTCAAATTATGATACATTTTGTTTTGCTTATAAGCCGTCAAGGAAAAACAAGACTTGCAAAATGGTATATACCGTTATCTCAAAAAGAAAAAGCAAAAATAATAAGAGAAACTTCTCAAATAACATTGAATAGAACACCAAAACTTTGTAATTTTGTCGAATGGAGAGAATATAAACTTGTATTTAAAAGGTTTGTGCAAATATATTAATCAAGTTATTTTTTAATTTTCTTGAAATTTTATAGTATTATTATATGAAAATAAAATTATATTATTATTACTTAACCTTTTAATAAAGTTTTTTATATTTATGTATATATTATATAAAATTATATATAGTTTTTAAGTTGATATATTATTTTTAAGAAATTTATTATATAAAAAATCACATTATTAAAATTTTATGAGAATAAATAATTTCATAGGTATATTTATTTATATAACTTTTTCTTTTAGGTATGCTAGTTTATTTTTCATAACTTGCATAGATAAAAACGATAATGAGTTAATAACTTTAGAAATAATACATCATTATGTTGAAATTTTAGATAAATATTTTGGAAATGTATGTGAATTAGACTTAATATTTAATTTTCATAAAGCATATTATTTATTAGATGAAATTTTAGTAACAGGAGAATTACAAGAAAGTAGCAAAAAAACTGTTCTTAGAGTAGTAGCAGCTCAAGATGCTCTAATGGAAGATAATAAAAGTAGTAAAAAATTAGGGGCAATAATTTAAAAGATATTATACAATAAAAATAGACATTTATATATATATTAATAGCATATATAATTTTTAAAATTCCACTGTATCTTTAATTTTCCTTCATATCAATAAATTCTGATCCTTGTATACATATATATATATATGTATATATTTGTGTTAACAATTATATTAAATTTCCTTTGTATCTATTTTTTTTCTTTTTATTTTGCATCTTTTTATTTTTATTTTAAAAATATTATTAAATGTTTGTTTTCTTTAATTATAATTTTATTTTTATATTCATAATTTTTCCTTTATTTTAATTTTTTGTGTAAACATATGTAAAAAATAACATATTTTACTTTTTTTTTTTTTTTTTCTATGTAATTTAAAATTAAAATTATTTTTAATTAAAAAAATGTTTATTAAAAAATTATCATTGTATAAATGATTATAACTAAAATATACATAAAAATGATAAATACAGTACAGAAATATTTTCGTTTAAAAAAATCGTACTATATATATATATATATATATTAATAATTATTGAATCTCTTCTTTGAATTAATAATACCTTCAATACTCTTTGCAAAAAAAAAAAAAAAAATAATTAAACAAAGATATAGCAACTTCTATATAATAAAAAAAAGTTCATATAATATTTTATATAAGTAAATGTAAAATTGAAAATATAATATAATGAAAAGAATTATATATAATTTTATAAAGTTAAAAAAAAAATAAAATATATTAGTAATAATTTCATATAATATTTTATAAAATTTACATGAATGAATTATAATTATAATTTAAAGCTTGTGCATATTTTACTGATGACAGAAACATATAATGAAAGTAAAAATATATAGAAAACTATATAAATGCAAATTCCATATTATTTTTTTTTATTAGTAAATAATTCTCTCTTTATTATATCTAGGACGATTGAGTTTCTTTCATTTCAACACTTTCCTTTTTATCTTTAACAGCTTCATTATTATTTTCCATTGATGTTTCACCACTGTCTTCATTTTCAGCGCTTATTTTGTTAGTAGCAGAGTTTTCTACATTAATTTCTTCTTCTGCACTTTTTCTTTCATAATGATATGCATATCTAGCTGTTAGTAATAATAATTCATTTAATTTACTTAATAGTGATCTAGGATCTTCTAAAATTCCTGCTGCAATACAAGCATTATCATAAAGCTGTTGAACTAATAATTTTGCTACTTCTTGATTAGTGTTTTTTAAATGATAAATGGAAGTAACAATAGTGTGAGATGGATTTAATTCTAATGTAGCAGGTAAATTTTGTAACATATTATCTTGAAAATCTGCATTTTTCATCGTTGCCTTCATAACTTTTCTCAAAGTTGGGGATAAAAATCCAGTAACTACCGCTGGTGAAGAAGTTAATCTATCAGAAAATTTAACATCAGAACATTTGCTACCTAATACTTCCTTAAAGTATTTTTCTAGTTCTTTTTTTTGTTCTTCATTAAAAACATTAGTTTGATTTTGCTTACTTTCTTTATCATTTCTATTAGCATCTAATACAGCATCATCAAAGTCTTCATTTTGTGATGAATCAATAGAAACAAATTTAGACCCATTATATGATTGTAAGTTCATTAATACAAATTCATCAATTTCTTCAAATAACAATAAAACATCTATATTTTGCTTTTTAAATGGTTCCATATATGGTGAGGATAAAGCTACATTTTTATCATTTGCTGAAAAATAATAGATATTTTTTTGATTATTTTTAAAATTTTTAAGGTATTCTTTTAATGAGATATATTTATTTTGATTAACGGAATAAAATCGTAATAAATTCATCAATATATTCTTGTATTGATTCTTTGTAGAATCTTCCAACACACCTTCCTTTAAATTATAATTATAATTTGTATAAAATTTTAAGTACTTCTGTTCATCTGTATCTGCTTCTTTCTCTATGGTTTTTAAAATTTTTGTAACAATTACTCTTGATAACTTATCCATTAAAGTACTGTCTTGCATATTTTCTCTGCTTATATTTAATGGCATATCTTCACAATCAATTACTCCCTTAACAAAATAAAGCCATTTTGGTATTATATTATCAGCATTTTTTTTTACTAATACCTTTTTACAATATAAAGAAATTTCTATTTCGTTATTTTGTTGAAAGAGTCTTGATGGTGCTTCTTCAGGTATGTAAAAAACACTTTTAATAGACATTGGTGCATCTGTTTTATATAATAATTTATATATATAACTTTTATTGTCATCATATGACTTTTTTTTGTTTAAAAACTTGAAAAAATTAATATGTTCCTCTTCTGATACATTATCTTTACACCATAAGGGTTTTTGATTGTTTATTAATATTTCTTCTGTTTCTTCTTTAATTGAAGAACTATCCTCATTTATATCTTTTTTAATGGTTTCTGATTCATTTCCACCAGTAGATCCTTCAATTTTTGATTCTTCTTTTTTTAAATCATCTATTTTTTTCTCACTTTCTTCTTTTAATTCTTTATTCTCAACCTTTTTTTTATTTATTACGTAAACTGGAAAATTGATAAATGAAGAAAATTTTTCTACTATTTGCTGTACTTTATTAATATCCGAAAACTCTTTACAACTTTCTTTAAGATGGCATACAATTTTTGTTCCTCTTTGTAAATTATCCATTTCTTTTAAAGTAAACATTCCGTTACCGTCTGATTTCCAATAATATCCCTTTGAACCTTCATAAGAACGAGTAAATACTTCTACTTCATCAGAAACAACAAAAGAACTATAAAAACCCACACCAAATTGACCAATAATATCCCCTGATTTCTCCTGATCAAGCTGACTTTGTTCAGAAATTTTTTTTTCTTTTAAAGAATTTAAAAAATTTAATGATCCACTTTTAGCTATAGTACCTAAATTTTCAATAACCTCTTCCTTATTCATCCCAATACCACTATCTTCAATAATAAATAATTTTTCTTTTTCGTCTGTTGAAATTTTTATATAAAATGGAATATTTTTTTCTTCTGTTATATCTGAACTTTTTACAGAAGCACATTGAATAAATCTTAATTTTTCAATAGCGTCTGACGCATTGCTTATTAATTCTCTTATAAATACTTCTTTATCTGTATATAAAGAATGAGCAACTATTTGCAATAACTTTTTTGTTTCTGCTTTAAATTCATAATTTTCAGTAGTACTAAAATTTTTTTTGTCAATGAAATTTATTACGTTTCTGTTCAATTTCTGTATATTTAAATTACTTATATTTCTTAATCCATTCAATAACATCTGATTTTTTGTTTGTTTTTCCAATTTTGAACATATTCTGCTAAACTGAAATGGACTTTTTGCAAATTTTGATAAACTCATTTTTGCAGATTCTTATTAAATATTTTATGCTAAATTATATATTTATAAATATTTTTTTTTTCAATTACTTCGAATGATAGACTTTATTATTATATAAAATGTATTTTCATAAAAATTTTGAAAAAAAAAAAATAAATAAATATGTAGAATAAAACAGTATAATAATTTATTGGATATTATTGTAAACAAAATTTCTCTTTAAAATAATATATATATATATACATATACGATAGTATTTATTTATCTTATCTCTTTTAAAATTACATAATTTTAAATTTTATTTTTATATAAATATATAAAAAAAAAAAAAAAAAAAAAAAAAATTAAGGAAAAAAAAACATTTCAGATTTAATTCATAAGAAAAATAAACCTTTTCTATCTATTTTATACTAATAATTTTTTATCTTTAATTTTCATTTTTCATAAATTATTTTTGATATGATAGAAAATTTTTTTTTTTTATATATATATTAATATGTTTATGGTTATTTTAGATAATTTTTCTTTTATTTCAATTTTTTATTTTAATAAAATAAGAAATAACTTAATTATAAATAAAGAACATCAAAATATTTCTTTCAAAGGTGAATATTCTTTATAAACTTTTTTTTATTTAATGATATAATTTTATTTTATATATCCTATAATTTACAAATATAAATTAAAATTGATTTTTAAAATATTTAATTTTAATTTGTCGAATGAAAAAATATATACGCATAAAATAAATATGAATTATTCTAAAATAAAAAAAAAATTTTCTTATAAATTAGTGGCATTAGTCCTGTGAATTTCTAACAAACAATATTCATTTCTATCTCTTTTTTTAAAACAACATATAAAAGTTTTATTAGGTATTGTCTCATTTTGTATATTTTTTTTTTTATAAAAAAGAAGTGTTATATACATAAAAATAAAAAATGTTTAATAAATTTAGTATAACAATTTTAAAGAACAAATATTCTCAAAAAAAAAAAAAAAAAGAAATTAAAGCTTATGTTATCTCTTGTGAATAAATAGAACAAAAATAATTAAAAAAAAAATTATATTTATATATTATTATAAAAAATAAAAGTTTATCATAGAAACTAAGTTTAAAAAAGAAAAAAATTATAAATACATTATTATTCTATTTCTCTAAATTTTATTTATATAGAAAATAATAATAATATTTTAATGAGATTTCTTTTATATAATTTATTCAGATGAATTTTTTATAGAGTAACTACATAAAGTAAAAATAAAAATACGGTTACATTTATTTTTTTTTTTTTTAAAAAAAAATATCTTTATTAACTTTCTCGTAAGTAAAATGTTGATATGGACGTTTGTTTTTCAAGCACTCGATTAGCTATCCTTAATATTTTTCCTTTTCTTAATTCCCATTATACACATAATTTTTTTTTATTCATATATTCAAAGAGACAGACTGTTCTTTTCTCAAAATATATTCATTTAAAACAATTATTTTTTCTTTATTAAAATACCACTATAATTTAAATTTTAACTAATGACAAAAAAAAAAAAAAAAAAAAAAAAAAATTACAAACTTCTTAAGACTTCTATATGCAATAAAAAAAAAATATATATAAAGTACAATTTATGAAATATTTAATTATATAAAATCTAAATTTTAATTAAAAAAAAAACTAAGAGAAAAAAAAATATTTATTCAATTAGGTTGTACTATAAAATTGAAGACCTTAATTTTATATATTTTATTGTTTTTTTTTTTTAAGTATATAAAATTTTAGTAAAAAAAAAAAAAAAAAAAGAGATTCTTAATTTACATAATTTTATATTAAAAAATAATATATACCCCGTAGATTATAATTATCTATTAAATAAGTAGAATAAGTTACAGAAATGATAAAAATATATGCATTTCAAAAAAAAAAAAAAAATAATTAAATAAATAAATATGCACATATATATATATGTATTATTTTTATTACAAATTAAATAGTTAGAAAACACTTTTAAAGAAAAGTAACAATATTTATATCATTATTAATTATAACCTTTTTTTAATTTGTATATATTATGATAGTTATTTAATTATATATATTATAATTAATTTTTATATATTTTCCTTATTGCTTTATAAATAATATAATTATAATATATTAATAAAAATTTTATATTATCTTCAATTTTTTTATTAAAAAAAAAAAAAAAAAAAAAAAAAATGCACGATTATTCAAGAATAAATCATATTAAATTAGAACAAGAATTAACAGTTGATGAATATTATTCATTAAATTCAGGTTTAAGAATAATATTGAGTAAAATAAAAAGCCCCAAGATATATGGTTATTTTACCTTGTTAACGGAAGCAGAAAACAATGAGGGATTACCTCATACTTTGGAGCATCTAATATTTTTAGGCAGTCATAAATATCCATATAAAGGGTTATTAGACTTTTTGGCATATAAATGTCTTTCAGAAGGAACAAATGCTTGGACTTCTATTGATCATACTTCTTATACTATTGAAACATTTGGAATAGAAGGTTTTTGTAATATCTTACCTATTTATCTAGATTTTATTTTAAATCCTACTTTAGAAGATGATGTATTTTTATCTGAAGTTCATCATATTTTTGAAAATGGTGCTCATAATGGAGTTGTATATTCTGAAATGAAATCTATTGAAAATAATTGTGAAAATATTGTAGAAAGAACTATGATTACCAACTTATATCCTAATGATAAAAGTGGATATAGATATGAAACAGGAGGAACTTTAGACGGATTAAGAAAAACTAACAATAATAGAGTAAGGGAATATTTTAAAAAATTTTATAAGTTAAATAATTTTGCAATAATCATATTTGGAGATTTTGAAAATGATACCATTTTAAATATAATACATGATTTTGAAAAATATCATTTAGATTTAAATCCAAGCCAAAGAAAAGAAGAAAAAGAAAATGTTAAAAATAATTATGACTTATGTAAAGAAGTTTTTTTGCAGGATATTCAAAGTTTGAATAGACCTTGGAGTAAAAAGGAAAATGTTGAAAAATCAAATGACACTAAAATTATAAAAAAATATTATCCATGTAATAATTTAAATAATGGACAAGTTAGTATAGGATGGAGAGGATGTGAATGGGATCAATTTAAGACAAAACTATCTCTGGGATTATTAGGAAATTATTTGACTCATTTAACTACCTCACCTCTTAGCAAAAGATTACTAGAAGATAAAGATACTTACTGTAGTAGTTTAGATTTTTCTCTTGAAGATTTAAAAGAAAATTACTTTACAATAGATATTTATGATGTTTCTTATAAATATAAATTCCATAAAAACAAAGTAAAAGAGCATGATGAAACAAATAATTTAGAAAATCAAAATAATATGCAAGTAATAAATAATATTCAAGATGATAATAATAATAATAACCTTAAAAAAGAAATAAATATAAATACTTTGAATGCTAATAATGATAAGGATGAAAATATAAATAATAGTTTAATTGTAAAAGATATCAAAAAATATGAACAAACGAATTTTTCCAGTAATAATAATGAAGTAAAAATAAATTTAGTTGGAGATATAACAAGAAATTGCTTAAAAGAAGTTTATGATAAACCATTGAATATGGAAAGACTAAAAAATATAATAATTCGATCATATTTGCAACATTTGAGAGATTTAGAAACATCTCCGCAGTACTTATTAAATGAATTTATTATAAAATATTTTATTTATGGTAGAAATATAGAAGACTTAGAAAAGTGCTTAAATTTGAAAAAAATATATATTGATTTGTTAAATGAAAATGAAAATTATTGGAAGGAATTATTAAGAACCTATTTTATTGACAATAATTATACTGAAGTGAGATGTTATCCTAGTCGTAAAAAAGCTAAGGAAATAGAATTATCTGAAAAAAAATTAATCGAAAATGAACAAAAGAAATATGGAGTTGAAAAATTAAATAAAATGGTAAAGAATATTAAAAAAATTAAAGAAAATATAGAAAAAAAACCACCTAAAAGTTCATTGGATATTGTTCCATCTGCAAAAGCAAAAAATGTTAAAATAGAAGGTATTACTATTTTCAGAAATTTCAAGAGTTTAGAAAATGAAACATTTATAAATAATAATAATTCATCAGAAGCATATAAAAATGCACTAAATGAAAATATGCCACTTTTGAATATTATACAGAATGATTTAAAACGCATAATTTTCCCTATTCAGTTAAGTAATATTAAGTCTAATTTTGTTTCAATAAATGTATTAATTAATTCAAACAATGTTGACGCTGACTTAAAAAAATATATTCCTTTATTAAGTTATTTATTATTTGAAACAGATGTAGAAATTAATAACAAAAACGTAAAATGTGAATTATTTATGGAAGAAATGATCAGAAATACTATTAATTATGATTGTAATTATGGATTAGGGGAAAGTGCGAAAAGCTTTAAAGCAGGTAATTTGAGTAATATACTATGCATACATATTATTGGGTTATTAGAAAATTATGTAAAATTATTTGATCTTTTATTTTTATCCATATTTAAAATGAATTTAAATATTGAAAGATTAGAAATCATTTTAAAATCTGCCTATCAAAATTTGCTACAAAAAAAGACGAAACCGAAAACATTAGTTTTAAACTTAGAATATGCTTTAAGATATATGAAAAATAGTAATTCAGGATTGGTTTCTATAGGGCAACAAGAATTAGTTTTAGGAATTATTGAAAATAAAAGTAATTTAGATGAACTACTTAATAAGTTAAATGCATTGAAAAATATGCTTTTCGATTTAAAAAATATTTCCATAATTATTGATGGTGATTTTCACAAAATAAAAAATATTTTTTCTTGGTATGATAAGTGGTTTAATATAGATGAGAATTCTAATTACACTGTTAATACTCCAGTAGTTAATTTTTGCTTTCAAAATAATATTAACGAAATGAATTATCAAAATTCGAAATATTTAGATAATGAAATTAGCTATAATAATAATAATATAAAATCATATGATCAAAATTCAAATATAAGTTATAATTCCAATATGAATACTTTGAACGTAGTCGAAAACATGGAAAAAAAAGATAATAATAAATATATTTCATTAGGACCAAATGTTCATAAAAGCTTAAAAGAATATTTAGATGTACAATTTGAAAGTGAAGATAAAAACTTTAAATCAAATATAATAAAAGATAATGCTTATAATGGAATTGTATGTGGCATTAAAAGTACTGATGTTTCATATTTAAAATTAACAGTAAAAGTTCCATCAGGATATGATCACGAGCATTATTGTGAATTGCTAATATTAAGAGAGTTTTTTTCAATGGCTGAGGGTCCATTATATAGTAGTATTAGAGGAGGAGGTTATTCTTATGAATGTTCTTTAGATTATAATTGCATTTTAGGTGAATTGAGTTTACGTATATATAGATCTAGTGATGTTATTAGTGCACTAAAGGAAGCCTTAAAAATATTTGATTATTATTGTAATAATGAAATGAAGGAAGATGAACTTTCTATTGCTAAAAGTAGTGCCTATTATAGTATTTTCAATAATCAAGAAACTATAAGTGATAGAGCATCTCAAACAATATTTTTGAGTTTAAAAAATTTGAACTTAAACTTTTATGAAACATTATTATCTAAACTGGAAAACGTTACTGCAAAAAATATATTAAATGTTTGTAGAAAATATTTATCGAGGATTGTTAATTTCCGAATTGATAAAAATAATGCCTTAATAGGTTCTACTTTATCTATTATTTGCTGTTCAGAAAAAACCGAAGCAATTGCTAGTTCTTTAAGAAAAGATATTAAGTTTGGAGACATATGTGTTTTAAATATTACTCAGTTATTTCACTTTTTTAAAACTTTTGATATAGAATCTTCATTAAAAGCATCATCAGCCAATATCTCAAATATTGAACCTGAAAATGCAGAAAGTATAAATGGGAAAGATAATTTAGATAATTCAGAAGACAATAATGATGATGATGATGATGATGATGATGATGATAACGATGATGATAACGATGATGATGATGATACCGATGATTTATTAAGTAGCTCTAATTGTTCTGTATTATCAGATGATGATAGTTATCCTGGTTACTCAGAAAATTAATAATATTTAAACATTTGGGATGTTTTTATTTTTTATTTTTTTTTACAAATTGCAAACTTTTATTTCATTAAATAAACAAAATAATAATAATAAAGACATATCATAAAGTACAACAGAACATAAAAATATATTAAGTTTTTTATAAATACAAAACAATGTGTATAAATATTAACATAATAATTAAGTAAAAAAAAAAAGAAATAATAATTTATATATTTTAAAATACTTTATAATGTTTTTTATTAATATAACATTATTAAAATAGTAAAAATTAATATACTTTATACTAAAAATTATTTTATTTAACACCATTATTTCTATGTTATTTTTGCCAAAATTTTTAAAAAAATATATTTTTTTTTTTTTTTACTAAATGTGGATAAAACAAGAGAAAAAAAAAAAAAAAAAAAAAAAAAAAAAATATATATATATAAAATTTTTATTAAAAATATTCATATAAATATATATAAAAAAATCTTAACAAATAATTTGAATTTGTAAAATGAAATATTAGAAGGTTTTTATCCTTCAAAAATAAAGAATAAAATAGAAATTGTACAGATATCAAAAATATATATGAACGTAAACTTCATATAAATTAATTAAAAGAAAATGCAAGAAAAATTATATTGAAATGCCACAAAGAAATTTATACCAAATTTATAAGAAAAATCTTCAAATTATAATATTAAAGAAATAATATATATAATTAGTATAAAAATTATTTAAGAATAAGAAGAAAAGAAGAATACTTTTTGTATTTTAAAAAAAATGAAGAATCATAATAAAAAAAAAATTGTCACCTTTTTAAAAATTAAAAAGATTCATAGCAATATTTTGTCTAAATCACGACAATGACGTATTTCAATATCTATATAGTCATAAGGTAAAATTATATCTTTTTTTTTAAATCTAGAAAATAACCCATCTGCATATGGATCATATTCAGTTAATGTTGATTCATTATTTTTTTCAAGTTTTAATTTTAGATATGAATACCACTCATTCTCTGAAACTTCTCTTCCATCTCTAAATGTTGTTATCCAAGCGCAATTAATATTTTTATTTTTAGCACCCATTACATCTGTACAAACATCATCACCTACGTGTAACCACTCTTCAACATCGAATTTTATATTTCTTTCTTTAAGTAAATTTTCAGCCACATTAAATATTTCAATACTTGGTTTAGCGCAATTATAATCCATTGACCTAATAACAAAAGAAAATATTTCATTTAGAAATTTTATCCCGTTAACATCAGAGTCACCATTTGTAATTGCACCCAAAATGTACCCCCTATTTTTTAATTCTCGTAAATATTCCAATGTTCCCGGACTTATAAATAAATGAACGTCATTTTTTTTTTTATTCCATAACTGCTGTATTTCCGAAGCAAATTTGATTTCATCATAATTAGTTTGTTTAGCAAGATATTTTAAGGCATCAATTCTAATTCTAGTGAGAATTTGAACTCCATCTTTAGTAAAATCATGATTTTTCTCCAATAATTGTTTTACTAATTTTGTAATAGATAATTCATATTCTTTCAATAAATAGTCATATAATCTCTTATAATTTTTTCGCATATATTTATAGCATTCATTATCTGCATAATTCAATAAAGCCTCAATATTCCATATTGTATGATCAAGATCAAAAGTTATCAATTTAATATTTTTGAAACATTTTTGTCTTCCTTTTGGAGTTATATAATAACAATTTTTTTCTTTTTTCATTTTTTCTTTTTTCTATTCAATACAAATAACTAATTAATATATTTAACTAAATAACGTTTTATAACATAAATTATAATTTCTTTTTTTTTTTTTCCCCCCTTATGAACTTTTCGAAAATTTTTATTACACTTTTAAATAATCTATACGTGTATTCATTATCTTTTTTTTTTTTTTTTTTTTTTTTTTTTTTTAAAGCTAATTTTCTGTTTTAACTTAAAATATGATGTGTTAATATTTATTTCATAAATTAGCTAATATTCTTAGTTACAATAAAAAAAAAAAAAAAAAAAAACTTTCGTATTTCACTTGAAAAAAAAAAATTCTGACTAAATTAATAAAATAAATTTTTTCGTCTAATAATTTAACTTTCGAAAAAATAAAAGAAAAAACATTTTAAAATTAAAAAAAGTATGCACTGTACCTAAATATTGTGTGTTCTATAAATAATATAAGAAATTACACAATATATAAAAGGAAGCATTAAATCTTAAGAAAAAGTTTTTTTTCTTTCTTTTTTCTTTTTTTTTTTTTTTTTTTTGAATTAACTAAAAGGCTTTCCTTTTATTCACACATAAAAGAAGATTATGTAGATAACTTATTATCTAATACTAAAAATATTAACCATTACAGTTTTATTATTACTTTTTTGTAAAAAGTTAATCGTTCATAATTATGTACTATTTGTGAATTCTCATTGAAAATATATTTATTATCAGAGTTAATATGTATGAAATTTATAAATATGAAAATATAATAATATATTGCTATAGTAAGATTTTTTATAATTTTATCTTTAAATAAAAAAAAAAAATATATCTTATAAAATTTCTGAAAAAAAAAAATTTTCTTAAATTTTTATGCCTTATGAATAATTAAATATATAATATATATATATACTCATAATGTTATAAATAAAATGAATGAATAGTTTATTTGAAAGTGAAACTAAAATATGTAAAAAAGTAAAAATTAAGTTAAAACATTTAATAAAAATGACAGATAATATCAAAATTAAAAAAAATAAAAATATTATAAAAAATAATAAAAAGAAAATAATGAAATACTAAAAATCTAAAAAAAAATAAAAAATATTTTTTTTTTTTTTTCTACCCATGTATATATTTTTCTTTGCTGCAAAAAAAAAAAAAAAAAAAAAAAAAAAAAATTCTGCAAAATTTGTGAATATATTTTTTTTTACTCTATTTTTTTTTTTTTTTTTTAAAAAAATTCAAGTTTAATAAATATTTTAAAGTTTTATAAATTAATATTTACTTATATATATTTATATATTTTATATGTATAATGTTATGAATTGTTGTATTTTTAATTTATTAATTTAATAAGAATTGAGGATACATAATTATTTTTTATTTAAAAATTTTATAACTTTTGTAAAATTTTTTAATAAATATAGACTTAAATTTTTTAACATTTAAAATTTTGTAGGATTCTATTTGAAAATATATAGTAGATTTTTGAATATTTTATTGTTATTTTTAATTCATTTACTTTTGTTTTTAAAAAAAAAAAAATTACATCTTCTATAAATATATATATTTGTATTATGTAATACAAATATATAAAAAGGATTTTTAATATCAGGATTCAATTCATATTTTTTTTTTTTTTTTTTTTTTTTTTTGAAATGAAAAAATTATATTTATTATTTGAATGTTCAGCTGGTTATTTTTTGCTAAAAGTAGAAGAATGGGAACAGATAGGGACTAATGAAAATATAGAAAAAAAAATATTAGATCCAGATATATTTCATCAGATAGTTCATTTTTGCTCTTTTATCTCTTTTGAAACAGCTGAAAGAGCACTTGATAATTTAATCAACATAAATGAAGGAAAGGCAACAGAATTTCTTTTAAATTTTTTAGAACAAAATTTGCCAAATAATAAAAATAAATATGAATTAGGAGTAACAGATCTTAACTTAGGAAAATTTTTATCTAATATTGGTTTTAATGTAATCCATAATAATAATATATTAGAATTATTTAGGGCATGTAGGCAATTTTATTTAAAAAAAATATCTACTTATGTAAATAATATTGATATTGATATAAAAAACTTCAATATAGGATTAGGTCATAGCTATTCAAGATCTAAATTAAAATTAGATCCACGAAAACAAGATAAATCGATTATAAACAGCATAGCAACTATTGAATCATTAGATAAAAACATAAACCTTTTTAGTATGAGAGTTATTGAATGGTATAGCTGGCATTTCCCTGAATTGAAAAAAATTGTTACAGATGTATGCATGTATTGTAAATTAGTTAATTTAATAAAAATAAAAGAAAATTTTGATTTTGAAAATAACAAAGAAAAAATAAATGAAATAACACAAAATGAAGAAATGACAGAAAATATATCTAAAGTTGCTAATTTGTCTATTGGTCAAGAATTAACAGAAGAAGATTTAAATAATATAATAAATTTTTCAAAAGAAGTTATAAATTTATCAAACACAAGAAATATACTATGGAATTATTTAGACAAAAAATTAAATATTGTCTCTCCAAACCTTAAAGAACTATTAGGTAATACTTTAAGTGCTCGTTTAATTAGTCATGCTGGTTCTTTAGTAAATTTAGCTAAATGTCCATCTAGTAGTATTCAAATTTTTGGATCAGAAAAAGCCCTTTTCAATTCATTAAAAGGAAATAAGAAAACTCCTAAATATGGAATTTTATATAACTCTTCTTATATTTCTAAAACACCCTTGGCATTAAAAGGAAGAATGTCTAGATATCTGTCATGTAAAAGTGCTATGGCTGCAAGAATTGATTCTTTTTCAGATTACCCTACTAATTCTTATGGTCTCACTTTTAAAAAACAACTAGAACATAAAATTTTACACATGATAAAAGGAGTTAAACTTTCCAAAAACATTGATTATATAAACGAAGCAGAACAAATATATCAAAAGGAAATTAGTACCATGGAAAAAGATAAAGATCTAAAAAAAGTTAAAAAAGAGTTGAAAAAAAAAGAAAAGAAAAAAGAAAAAAAAGAAAAAAAAGAAAAAAAGAAAAAAAAAAAAGAAAAAAAGAAAGAAAAAAAAGAGAAAATAAAGAGAGAGGATATAAATGAAGGGGAAGAAAAAAACAATGAAACTGAAGAAATAAAAAAAAAAATAGACGAAGAGGGAGAAGAAAAAGAAATTGACATATTAAAAAGAAAAGAACTAAAAAGGGTTAAAAAGGAAGAAAAGAAAAAAAAAAAGAAAGAAAAAAAGGAAAAAAAAAAGAAAAAAAAAGAAAAAAAAAAAGAAAAAAAACAAAAAGAAATAGGAAAATAATCTCGTTTTATGTAAAAATTATTTTTTATAATATTGTAAAACTTCATAAACATTTCAATTTATTTCATATTTCACATTTTATTTCCTTTACTTTCTCCATTTAATTTATTCAATTTTTTTTTTTAATTTTACCTTATTCTATTTATTTAATTCATATTTAGCTTAATTTTATATATACATTTTTTTTTTTTTTCTTTTTTTTTTTTTTTAGTTATATATACAAAACTTATTTTATCTTTTTAATTATATCCTTATTATTTATATTAAAAAACAAAAATTAAAAATTGCGAGAAATGCATACTTGAAAACCTAATTTGTTTCGTTTATTTTTAATGCATTTTTTATTTATCATTTCCTTTTTAATAATATGCAATTTTTTTAAAGTCTACTTATATGTATTCTTAATAATTAAAGGAAATATAATTTTGCAATTTATATTTCCATATTATAAAAAAAATATATTAAAAATTTATGATTATGATTAGAGAATATAAAAAAAAAAAAAAAAAAAAATTAAACGATATCCTACAAAATAAAAAATAAAGTTAATACAATTATTTTAAAAACTTTAAAAAAAAAAAATTTCTATTGTTACAAAAATAAAGCAATAGAATTATGTAAAAAAAAAAAAAAAAATATATTAATCATATAAAACTTTTTAAAAAATAAATAATTTTACAAAAAAAAGCATAATTCTAGAATATTGAAAAATTGTATATATGTATTCACTTAAAAATTAGTATATATATTATGTCCTATATTATTTTGTAAAGATAGAATTTAAGCTGATAATAAACAAATAAAATAACATGTAAACAAATTTTATATTTTTATCTTAATTTTTTTTTTTTTTTTATTCATATAAAGCTAGGTAATAATCATAAGATACCCAATGTAATTTATTTCTACATAATTCACTATTTTTTTGATTAATTTTGCTAAGAATAAATTCTAACTGTTTTGGATTAATATAATAAAAATATTCTCCATTTGATATATTTTTAAGAATTTCTTTCTCTTCTAAGCAAGAAATTATATCATTTGTTTCAATACTAGTAATTTCCGATAGCTCATGGATTGATAATTGTTCATAATTAACTAAAACTTTTAATAATGTTTCATACCAATAAGCCATATATGAAGCCACACCTAAATCAGAAAGTGGTCTTTCAGGTGTACCTGTTCTTTTTTCTGTTTGAGATAAAAAATAACTAAAATTAATCAGAAATTTTCCATAACCCTTTTTTTGATGTTGTGGTAAGGTAAGTATACATGAAACGTTATTCTTGGAATATTTTTCTTTAGAAAAGTATCCAGTTATATGATAGCCATATTCATCATATTCAGTTATAACATAAAATAAAAATAAATTAACTCTATGCTTCAATGTTTTATGATCAAGAAATAATTTTGATAAAAAACATAAATTTTCACAATATATTCTAAAATAGTTCCCATCTATCTCAAAAATAGATATTTTATCATTTCTATATATTTCATTACCAGGGGGATGTCTAATTTCACATTTTTCTGTATGACGAATCATTTCTTTTTCTTCTTTATAGAAAGACAAACAAAATTCACATATATATAAAACATCAATATTTTGATATTCTTTTGGGTAAGGAGAAAAATACCATGTATCAATTAAATATTTTCCAAATTTGATTTGATTTATAGTTTTTAATTTAGTATTTTCTTCATGCTCTCTTAAATACTCCTTATCAATCCCTGCATGTTCATGGTCAGAAACACTTTCGGTATCCTTTATAAGTGGAAGACCATCATCTGGCTCCTTGTCTAATAATCTTAAATTTTCATAAGGTAGCCAGCAATCTAATCTTCTATCAAACTTTTCCCAATGAACATAATAATCATAATCACTTTCTTTTAATGTATTATTATTATTATTTAATTCATTATTAATTTTATTTATAATTTCACTTTTGTTTATATTTAAAGGAAATATTAAATTTATATCATTTAAATTTTTATTTTTTGGTCTTGCATAAACAATAGAGCAATATCTCCATACTTTATTTAAGGGATCTAATCCCCACAAAATTTGTTTTACTGGTAATGCATTCGGAAATATTAATGCATAGGAATCATTAAATTTTGATATAGTGTTTATAACTTTCCCTGCAGTTCTTATTTTATTATTACTTCCTTTTGAATTTTTATTTACATTAATTTTTTCTTTATTTTTTGAACTAGCTAAATTTTTTCCAAATATTTTATTATTACTTTCTCCATTTGCTTTATTTCCTTTTGCACACTTACTTATTCCTCCTCCTTTCATAACATACAAATTATCATTTTTACTACCCCCCATTTTAACTAGCTAAATAATTTTTTAAAATAAATAATGAAATATTAACTATAATAATAAATAAATAATAAAATTTACGGGAAAAAAATCAACAATCACATGACCGCGATAAAAATATCGCATAATATATTACAAATACATATAATTATGAAGAAAAAAAAATCATTACATCTTTGTAATTTTTTTTTTTTTTTTAAAAAAAAAAACAAAATTAAATTTAATTTATTATTTAATAATAAATTTTTGTTTTCTTTTTTATTTTTTATGGTATCATATGTTAATATAAAATAAGTTATAATAAAACATAAGTATTATTCAATTTTTTTAATTTTTTAAAATATATTAATTTCTTTAAGATTTTTTGATAATAAAATTTAAAAAGAAAAAAAAGTATGAAGAGATTACCAAAAAAAAAAAAAAAAAAAAAAAAAAAAAAAAAAGTTAAAAAAAAAAAAAATGAAAAAAAAAAAAAAAAAAAAAAAAAAAAAAAAAAAAACTAAAAAAAAATAAAATAAATAACATACAAAATCGGTAATAACAGATGGGAAGCAACAAATATTAAAAAAAAAAAAAAAAAAAAAAAGCATGAATATGCCTTCATATAATTTATTAAATTTTTGTAAATTTTTGATTACTCTCAATAAACTTGATTAACATAAGAAAAATATAAATCATGCGATACTTGATTAATATAAGAAATATTTAAATAATAGAAAACTCTATTAATTCAAGCATGTATTTATAAAATTTTATCAAGATAAAATTATAAATTGCGATAAAAATATTAAAAAATTAATAATTATTAAAGAATCTTCTTAAAAAGAAATAAGAGGAAGTAAGCTTATATAAATGAAATAAATGTATTTCATAAAATTATTGTGCTTAGTTCAACTTCTTATTAATTTATATTTTTTTTATATTTCATATAATAATGTTTCTAAATAATATTTATAATTCTTTTTCATCCCCATGTATCCACCTATAATTATTTGAATAAAATAAAAAAAAATATAATAAAAAGATTTACATATTTCTATATTTATATTTTTACATTTTACCTTTTCAACAAATCAACATAAGATATATTGGATCCATTTGCTAGATTTAATTCTCTAAAAAAAAAAATAAAAGAAAAAACTTTTTATTTTTGTTTATGTAACTTTTAAAATTGTTTTTTATACCTTTGTAAAAAGTTAGCTTCTTCTTCAGTGAAATTGTCACCGAATTGTTTTAAAATAAATAAGAGTAGATCTTTATGCATGTAACCAGTTTTCTATTTAGAATAAAAAAAAAAAAAAAAAAAAACAGAAGTAAATAAATTTATTTGAATATTTAAATAAAATTATTATAGAGAAATATTTTTATTATTTTCTTTTAATATCAATTAATTCCTTTATTAATTTATTTATTTTATATGCACATTTTTATATTTACCTGAACATCCCATATTTCAAAGAAAGTAATCATATTTTGAAGTGCTTCTTCTTCATTTAGAACAATTGATTTAATAAAAATAATTAATTCATCTTTGCTTATATCTCCTTTACTTTTTAATTCGCTTAATTTATTCTCAGTTAATGCCAGATTCTATATATCAAAAATCATACGAAAAATAAAAATTTTGGTGTAATTTTTAATACAGTAAATTATATATATATATATATATATATGTAATTTTTAAAATTACCGCTTTGTATATAATATCTACACATTCCTCATATGTAAAATTCTCTATCTGTATAAACGTAAAATTATATATATAAGTGCTCTCTTTTATATAAAAGAAAATAAAAGTAAATTGTGTAATTTTTTTTTCTATACATTTTTTTCCTCCATTAATTTCTTCACTTTTCTTATCTTTTTATCTACGATAGTTCCTTCATTTATTTGTTGCTCTTTCAGTTCTTCTGTTTTTTTTTCCTGCTCTTCTTTCATTTTTTTTTCTATTTCCTCTTCATTTTTTAGTTTTTCTTCTTCTATCTTCTTATTATCTTCTTCCTTTTTTTTCATCTCTTTTATTTGCATTGTTAGGTATTCTTCATGTTTTTTTAATTCTTTTTTTTTCATTATATTTGCTAAAATCAATTCATTTTCTCTTTTTTTCAATTCTTTATTTCTCTCGGAAGCTTTTTTTACAAGTTCATTATACTAATGAGTAAATAAATAAAAAAAAAAAAAAATGAAAATTAAGGAAAAACTCCAATATTTTAATTTTGAAAAATATATATTTTTTTTTTATCTACAATCATTAAAATATATTTATTTACCTTTTTTTTCCTATTATTAAATAATTTTTTAAAACCATTTATATTTTCATCTTTATGAAGAAAATTATCAGCATCAGAAAGAACACGATGAAAGTCTTCTAATACCTGAAAAAATATATTAATTATAATTAAGACTAATAACTATCACCAAACTACTAAAATAATGACAAATAAAAATATTTTTAAAAATTTATTCTTATAAAAAAATACTATTAGACATATAAAAGTAAAAAAAATATGCTATCATTAATTTAAATTACTTCTGTTAATAAGTTATTATTTTTCGTTAATTCTTCTTTATAGTATAATGTTTCATTCTTAGCTTCATTTTTTTCTTTTGATTCTTTGCTTAATTCCTTTAGTTTGCAATTTAAGTTGTGTTTTAAACTCTTTAAAATAAAAAAGAAAAAAAGATAAACAAAGAAAAATTTTAATATTTTACTTTAATCTTATAATAAAAATCTAGAAATATAAATATATTTTTAAATAAATAAATATGAATAGTACATTTATTTGTTGTTCACAATATTTTATGTTATTCTGCAATTCTTCAATTTTCTTCCTATAAAAAGAACATAAAAAAAATATACAATTGTGTAAAAACTATTTTATATATTGATAACAACAAATTAATATATACATGTATATATATATATATTTTTATTAAAAAAAATTTTTATATTTGGTTCTAGAATATTAATATTTTTTTATATTTAAAAATTTTACATATTCAATATTTTAGTAGCATTGGATAAATCTGTTTGTGCTCTAGCTGACTTAATTCCATCCATTAAAATAATTTTATCTCCCTAAAATATTTATCAAATTTTATATTTTTTATATATGTTAATGTATTTTTATACACATATTTACAATATTTTTTTTTTAATTTTTTATTACTCCTATTCTTTCACAGCAAGAGACAATATTTTCTAAAGCTATTCTATATTCAAGGAATGTATATTTTATCTTCCTTAATCTCATTTGTATCTTTTCACTAAAAAAAAGAAACAATATAATAGAAATTATCAACAAATTTATNATAGTTTTTTTTTTTTTTTTTTTTTTTTTTTTTTCTGAAACTATTACTTTTGCTCATAATAAAATTTGCACATTTCTGTTAGTTTTTGATTTTTCTTTTTATTAATTCTTAGTTTTTTTTTGTTTAATTTACTACGAAAAAAAAAAATATATATATATATAAAACATAAATTATATATATTTTTATTTTTCTTTATATTAATTTTTTTTTTTTTTTTTTTTGGTTACTTATGTTCTACAATGTTTTCTATTACAGTACTTTGAACTTTTATAATATTTTTCTTTGTATTAATCTCAGATTGTTGCTTTCTTGCCATATAAAAAATGTCTTTTATATCCTCTTTGTTGTAAAATGCTCCAGACTAAGTTATGAAAGTAGAAAAGTATATAAAACACTTTTATATAAACTTAAAAATATATCAATGTTTACACATTTGTATATATATGTATAAATATTTTAATATGTTTATAAAATTTAAAATATTTTATAAAAATTATACCTTAATTAGTTCCAGATCTATTCTTTTATCTATATTTTCTTTAAGAGCATTATACTTTTTTTTTAAAACTTCAAATTTTTCCTTATAAATATTTCCATTTATTCTATCACTGTAAAAATACATTTAAAAAGATTAATTATTAATGTACTGTTTTACTTTAATTCCTTATTTTAATTTATTTTTATTTAAATCTTTAATTATTTTTGAGGAAGCATGCCTGTTATTTTCTGTTTTTTTATTGGGGATATATATACCTAATGGCTCTATAATATTTTGAAATTCAATATTATATACTTTTTTCTTTAAGCTATCTAAATAATTAATATTATTTATAATTTCATCTATTTTATGAAATTCCTATGATAAACAAATAAAAAGCAAATATTTTTTTTAATAGTTATATATAATGAATATTTTATTTAATAAGAATTCATTTTAGTATTTTTACGAAATGTACATTCATTAAATAATAAAATTAAAAACAAAGTATTATATATATTTATAAGTTAATTATTTAATAAAGGTTTTCATAATAACTATTATTTTATTTTATTTTTTTTACTATACCTGTCTTTTTTGTTTATCTAAGATTGTTCTATCATCATGAAATGATATACATTTTTCATAATTCCTCCTATTTATTATTTTATTTAATATAATTAGTAAAAAATTAAAAATATAAAATATACTTTATAATAAAATAAAAAAATATATTTAATATTTTTACATGGTATTGTTAATTGGCTGACATTCTTTTTCCTGATTGTAAATAAATAAAAAGAAAATTTATATATATATATAAATTAAATATACGATTTTTTTTTTTTTTTTTTTTTTTTTTTTATACTAATAAAAACACTGCTTCTGTGTAAATATCATCATAAAAAGATACATTTGTTCTTCTGAAAAGAGAACTAAATGGTTTTTCATCATCAGAACTAAATGCATTTTTGCTATTTCTATGAAAAAATTTACTCATACTTCCTTTTAGAATTTCCATTTTTTTTTTTCTTATATATATTTGTATTTTATAACTTATTTTATTTTTTTTTCATTTACAAACATCATTTTATAGAATAAATGATTTAAATATAGATATAAATTTTTTTTTATTAATACAATTTATATACTTATTATGTAATATTTATTATCTATTCACAAAAAAAAAAAAAAAAAAAAAAAAAAAAAAGATAAGTAATCAACTCACCAAATAAAAAAAAGAAAAAAAAAGAATATAATTAATGATTAATAATATATTTATAATAAATTTTAAATAAAAAAAAATTTTATATGAAAATTCTTGACATATATATCAATTAGAAATTTTATTTTTATTTATTACAAAAGATACAAATGAGTATAATTTTTTTGATATTTTATGTTATTTGTTGTATATTGTCTTGCTAATTTACAATTTTCACAATATGTGCAAAATTCTGTTACTATTATTTTAATTTTGTAATTATAAAATTTTTTTTCTTGTTCTCGAATGTTTCTAAACTTTTCTTTTAATTATATTTTTTAAATAGTAAGAACTTGTATCATAATTTTAATCTTAAATATTTATTTTTTTTTTTTTTTTTTAACGATTTACTTTTTAGTTATACTTTTGTGTGCATGCATGCTTTTGTTACAGTATTTTATTTTTCATTTCAATCTTCTATTTAAATTTATTATCATTTGATTATAAATATATTTGATTATTTTTATTTTTTCCTAAATATATCTTAATTATTTATAAATATATTAATACTTCTTTTTTTCTTCTTTTTTTTTTAATTATTTTTATATTTTTTTATTATTATAATTCTTTTCTTTTTTTTTTTTTTTTTTTAAAGACTAATTCTATATATATGCATACGTATACACTTTTACATGCTAAAATTTTTTTTTTGGCACGATTTCATTAGTTGTTAAAATGTAATACTAAAAATTTGGTATCATATTTATATTATAGTTTATATATATATAATTGATATAACTATTTATTCAATAAAATAAAAAAGTAATAAAAACAATAATGAAATTAAATTTGTGTATTTCGTAAATCACTTTAATAATACAAGCGTATTTATAAATTTTTTTTTTATCTTCTTTTTTGTTCAGGTAAATACATACAATGGTCATAAAATAAAACTCCATACGATCACATTAAAATCGCTTGATACCGTTATAAATTGTGTGTATTTTTTATATTCATATGATTCTAACATAGATATTTGTAAAATTTGATTTGAATGAGCAACAATTTCTCCAATAATTTTATTTCCATGCATATCATTATATTCCTTTTCTATATCATGAATATCTTTTTTATCGTAAAAAAAATCAACAGTTAAATTTTTAATTGTAAATTCAGGTAAAACAACTTTTGATATAACCCATTCATCATTTGAACGTTCTATAATAATTGGAAATAATTCATATCCATACTACATATAAAAAAAAAAAAAAAAAAATATAATAAAATTATTATTAAATTAAATTCAGTTAAATTTAAAGAATATATATAAAATTTTATTAACATACAACTAATAGCTTATCCTCATCTATGAATAAGCACTTATGTAGGGTTTGCCCAATCCATGAAATAAAATGAACTTTAATAGGAGATTTTAAATAATCAAAAATTATAATTTGTTGTTTTTCACAATTATTTTCAAAGTTATTAGCTGTAAAAATAAAATAATAAAATAAATACAACATTTAGTTACTAATAATTCTTTTAAAAAAAAAAAAAATTAATTTTCTTACCAATCATAGCAACCTTTTCATTTGATAAAGAAAAAGTAGCATAAATAAAAATATACCCTTTACATTCAACCTGTTCTAAATGAATCATTATAAATTATTTTTAAAATCAATTTATAATAAAAAAAAAAAAAAAAAAATTATCTATTACCTTATTTATTATATCATAATTTTTTAAATTTTTTTCTGTAATAAATTCTTTAATTTTTTCAAATATCCTATTAAGATTTTAAAAAAAAATATAGGGATATAGTTAATTTCTGTATCTTTATAAAGTTATTTATATAAAAACTAAGAGAATACATTCAAATAATTTATTAATATAATTTACTTTATACTTTGCTTTTTAACTATATTATCTTCCCATAAATCTAATGTACAAATGAGCAATGATGTTGAATCTACTGAATTAGTAGACAAAACAAGTCCTTTTGAAAAAAAAAAATAAAATAAAATAAAATAAAAATAAACTGTAAGACATGAAAGCATAAATATAGAAAATATTCATTTTAATTGTTGTACAAAAAAATTATAATTACCTATATATATCAAATATATATATATACCTGAAGAATTCCATTGTAAATATAAAATACTTCCCGTATGATTTACAAGTTTTTTTATGGACCATTTTTGCTTATTCTTTTTAGAACAAATAAATATAACACCGGATGAAAATCCTATAGCAAAAGAATGTGCATACGGATGCCAACATGCACATGTAGGTAATTCTTCAGTTGGTATATTTACATTATTGTATGACCATATTCCTTTTTCATCTCTTATATATATGATACATTTCATATCAATAGTAATTATAAGTAACTCATTTTTTTTAGACCATTCAAACCCAATAATTTTGTTACTATTCTATTATTTGAAAAAAATAAAATATATACATTCACTTATTTCTACAGAATAACAAATTAAAAGTAATATTAATATAAAAATGTTCATCTTTTGTTCACTTTTTATTTTTGTATAATCATTCTAACTTACCCCAATATAAAAAGTTTCGCAATAAATCAATTCTTTATTTACTATTTTATATAGAAGTACGTTCTTTTTATTATTTATAACAGCTACTAGTAGATCATCTACATTTGATGAAGCCGTAATTATAGGCTCAGAATCCTCATCTGGTAAACTATATTTTATACACTCACATTTTATGTGTTCGACTATCATATTAATAATATTTTTTATACCAATTTTGTATTAAGTTAGCCAAACTATATAGTACATTTACGCAAATGTTATTGAAATTATATCTTTTAATTTTTATTGTTTACACATGAATAAATGTATATACATATGAAGCAATTTATTTTATGCATTTATATAAAAAAAAAGAAAAAAAAAAAATTTTAAGTTTAAATTTTTAATAAAAAATACAAATTATAGAATATAAATTATAATATGAATTTTTTGTTAATTTACGTATATAATCTATTTATTTTAATTTTTGATTATTAATTTTTTTTTTTCACTTAAAAAATATACTAACAAATAATTTTAAGAAAAAATAACTAGAAAAATTGAGATGAATATGAACTGAAAAAATTAACACTTTTTTTTTTTATTTCATATTATTTAGTATTAGTTTGAAGTACTCACATTAAATATTTACTATATATGTTATTTTTACTTTAAAGAGAAATAGACACAAAAATAAGAAAAAAAAAAAATCATCAATAAAATACCCCTAATCTAATAAATTGCTAATGTTAGAAAAAAAAAAAAAAAAAAAAAAAAAATGAACATATTTTATCACATTTCATTTTTTCTTGAAATATTACTTTTTTTTACTAATTATGTTTATTCTAATTATAATATCAAAACGAATAAACTAATTTTTGAGGATAAAACAGAGCAATGTAAAAAGTCTATTTATTTATATGGTGAAAAAGAATCATTCATTATAGCAAGTAAAGATAATGTATATTTAGAAATTCAAGATAATAAAACAATTATAAACAGTTTAAATATTTATGGAAAATTACATACAAATGATTTTTTATTTTTTGAAAATAAACAATGGAAATTATTCCACTTAAATACTTTTGATGTAAATGATAATTCATGGATTCCCTCGGTATTATATGATTTATAAAAGTATATATATATATATGAAATATTATAAAATAAAATAAAGAAATTAAATAAATTATTACATAATAATTTCTTAAATATCGTTAAACTTTTTTCTTATTGATTATTTATTATTAAAATTACAAAAATAATTAAATTGTGACCTCATTCAATTCACATTTATTTTATTTTTTTTTTTTTTTCTCTTTTGAAATATATATTCACAATGATCAATTATCAACATTACTTTTAAAGGAAATAAGCACATGTCGTAATTCTCCTGATTCATTTCTTGGTGGACCATGGTAAAACACAAAAAATGAAAAGAAAAAAAGAAAAAATATTCATTAAAAGAAATATTTAAATATTTGTTACAACAATATAAAAATAAATTAATATTTTTTTTTTTTATAATATACATATAAAGCAAATTTGGAGCTACTGAAGCTTATACTAAAATTAATAACTTGCCATATCATAAAAAATTAAATATAAAATTAAGAGTTCATTTTTTTGATAAATGGGATAATGATTCATTATTCTTACAAGTTGATAATAAAACAATGTGGACACGTAAAAGATATATATATATATATATTCATAAAATTTTAATAAAATAAAATTTAAAATTTATTCTATACTTTCCTTTTTAATTTTTTAGAATCTCATGAATTATGCCCTGAAGGAGTAACATAAACATATATTATACATTTTAGAATTATTTATATTATTTTCTTTTCTTTAGAATTGCCTTTTAGGAATAGATGTTTGCGGACAAAATCATCCAGATCGTTTATCAGTTAAAATAAAAAATACATATATTTTAAAATGTTTTTTTTTCAGTTTTTTAATATTATACTTATTTATTTTTTTTATATATATACTTTTATTATATCACTTATAATATATTTTTATCATAATTATATAAGGTTCCAATAGATATACAATTTCAACATTCCTCAGGTAATAAATTTAGAATAGAGGAAAATTCAATGAAAAAAAAAATAAAATAAAATAAAATAAATAAATAAATAAATATGTTATTTTTATTAATTATTATAATTATTTTTCTTAAAATCGTAGATACATTAAATATATTGATAGGAAGCACTTTAAAAAAGACAACTGACCCTTGTTTAACATCATGGGGTGTAGATGATTTTATGATCTACTATAAATAATTTTTTGTTTTTTTTTTTTTTTTAACTCAAAAAAGCATCTTTTTTGTCATCGTTAATAATTTTATTTATATTTCTTTTTATTTCTTCTAATTTTTTTTCTTTTGATTAAAAAAAAAAAAAATAAATAAAACAAATTTATTTAATATATATTTAATTATATTTTACCGTATATATATATGTATATATTTTTTTTTTATTATAATTTTTTCTTTATTTATATGTATCATTTAGTTTTTTTTTTTTTTTTTTTTTTTTTTTTATGTAAACTTATTTTTGATTTAATATAGAACCAACTGTTAGGCCATCTGAATTTTTTTTATCTATATCAGCACCAACACTTGTCAAATAATCAATTATTTCTTTTTTATCTGAATAAGCTGCAATATGTAATGCTGTATCACCATAAGAATCTTCCATATTTATGTCAGCACCTCTCTCTACTAGAAGTTTAGCAATTTCTAAATGACCTCTATCACAGGCGTAGTGTAAAGCAGTTAAACCATCTGAATTTTTTTGACTTATTAAATGTGGATGACTATCTAATATTTTTTTTACATATTCTATATTTGAAAATACAACATTATGACATAACAAATCACATAAGTTATTATCAGTGTTATCTTCAGTATAGTTATTTTCTTTTAATGACTTCATTTTACTTATACTCTTTGAAAACTCGAATGATAAATTACTGTTTAAATTTTCAATAGCATTAGGAAATAATTTGTTAAAAAATTCTACATATAAAAATTTACATACCTTTTTATCTACATCATAACAATTTTTCCATGAATTTATTTTTTCATTTTCTATATAATCATTTTTACTTAGTTTCAAATCATTTTTTTTTTTATTATTATTATTTTCATTATTATTATAATCATTACATTCAATTTCTTCATCATTATTTAATTTTATATTACCATTAGTAATTTGTTTATACAAACCATATAAATATATCCATTCTTCAAATTTCAATTTATTTCTGTATATTTTAACAGCGTTACATGTTTGAGAAAATTTTTCTTCTAATTCTTCATCACTGATATTTATAGTTATATTTTTATCTATAGGAGGTAATTTTATTTTTATATATTTTTTGTAAAAAGAAAAAGGTCCATTAAATAACCAATTCTTCAAATCATATAATTTATCAAGTATATGACTTTTTTTCCTATAACTTGTTAATAAGTATATTATAACTACAACTGATACAACATTAAAAGCGAATGCAGGTTTACTTATGTTTCTAAACATATTTATTATTAAGATAAAATAAGATAAAATAAAAATATAAATTATAAGATAATATTATTAAATTAAAAATGTATATACTTATATATATTTTTCATAAATAAATGTTTAAAATTCTTTAAAGACAAAAAAGAAAAAACACATAAAAAATAAATAATTTATCAAAGACATTTTTATCTAAAATATTTATATATTTTTAATTCATATTTTATAATATCTATTATAAATATATTTGCTGTGTTATTAGCTTAAAAAAAAAAAAATAGAAAATTCTATTTTTAAAAGTGACATATTAAATTAACATTATTATCTCATTTTTTTTCATAAACTTTAATAATTAACAAAAATATCCAATATTTGAGAATTATGCAAAAATTATATAAAATGTAATTTACATTTTTAAGTATTTATCAAAAAAATTTATTAAATTTTATCTAAAACATATCTAAAATTATTATTTATATAAATTTAAAATTTTATGATCAACATAAATATGCAATAACTTTTTTTATATATTTATATCATTAAATATTTTAAAAATATAATACATTATTTAAAAATTAATTCTTCTAAAGAATATCTAATAAATGTTGCTACAATGTAATAATATATAAAATAGAGCAATGATGATTCATAGATGTACCATGTTTTCTTATTATTAGATCATTTTCAATTTAATATTATTAATAAATAATTTAAAACTTCATAAATTTTATACTATTTCAAAAATTTGCAAATATAAAAAAAAAAAATCTTTTATTATTTATATTTCTACCAATTTTTTCATTGAAAAATATTTAATACACTCAAATATTTTTTTATTTGCCTCAGCTAATTTAACAACAATTTACTTATCATTATATCAATATTCTATATTAAGTTATGAAAAAAAAAAAAAAAAAAAAAAAAAAAAAAAAAAAAAAAT